TACAGGGTATCTATTAGTGAGAATCTTCTTCAAATGGAACCATTTTTTATAAGGGAAAGAATAAAAGTTAAATAGTGTAGGAGTTTTAAATAATAGTGACATTGTAGGTAACATTTCAACAAGATATAAAACTATGGGAAAGATGCTTTTTTTAAAAATAATCTATATACACCAACTTAAAAAATTTAGGATGAGGAAATTGAAAGGTTTTTTGATGATATTAGTAGTGTTATAGTTAGAAAACAAATTACACCATTTTGAGGAGCTTTAATAGAAAAGTATGGATAAGAAAAGAGGGGGAATCTACTAAAACTTGGAATAAGGAACATAAAAGACTAATTAAATTTTAATACAGAGATACAAAATGGCATTTATGTAATACTGTGCTGTCGGCCCATGGTCAACTCCCAGTCGTGTTGCGAAGCAGTAATGTTTCTTCCACCGACGTTTTGAGGTTGACTCTTAGTCGTTGCCACTAGCCTGTATCCCGGTCGATCGGTGGTCATACCCAGTTCAATACCAGCTCCGTTGTTCCCAGCTCACTTCCAACATCTGGTTACCGAAGTAACTGCTTAGATGTCAAGTCTAACTTGCACACGTTGTGATTTTGATCTTAGGTAGACGAGATCAATCAGGTGTCGAGCTGTAGTGTAAGTTGAGTCCAGACTGAAGGTAATATTGCACAAGCATAAAGAAAAAGAAGCAAATAAAAGAAAAAAAAAACCCAAGAGGTTCAAGTATGTTAAGAAATAACAAATTAACTTTATACTTCTGTTATATACAGGAGTGTGTTTTCCTCCCAGCCCATTTTCTACAGATTGTGACATTTCTACATTTCTTAAGCAAGTTTTGGTATCTTAAGTCAACTGGTTTAGCTCTTAGGTGCTGGTTTGGCTTCGTTCAATCAGTATAACTTGCTATTGGTAGGATAGGCAAAGTCGGAGGTTGTGAAATCTCTCAATCAGCTTCCGTGAGGCAACACTTTGGTTCCCGCTACCCAAACTAACTGAACTGTACTAACTGACTGTTGAACAGCCTGAGGACATTCATTTATATGGGTAACGACCAAAAACTGGTGCGAGGCTAGATGCAGCCTGGGGTTCTTGGTAAGTCTTGATTTCCAACAAGAATCTCTTTGTTGTCAGGCCAGGAAAATTGATTACTTTGCATTTTTGGAAAATTAATCACTTTCCATTTTGGGGAGGTCTCCCTTGTCCGTGAGGGGAGGTCGAAGGAGAGCTATCCTCCTAAACTCTTCCTCTCTCACACTGATATCTCGTACCAATCCCTTCAGTGGGCGTTAATAACTTCTCCGTCCTTCTCATCCATTCTTTGCCTATCACCATTGCTACCACTTGACCAATGGCATCCCGCCCATGCGGGTGTGGCTAAACTGGCCTCCTTAAAATTATAACCCAGAATTTTTGTTTACAAAATTCTCCTTTTTCTCATCGGCCAAAATTTTTATGAATTTCACATTGCCACTTGAAATCTATCAGATCATTTGGTCACTCAGAATCCACTTAGCCAGCACTCTTTACCAATTCCATCAATCACTGTCAAAGTTTGCCATCTGGTCCCTTCATAAAGTTAGCTTTTACTGGTACCCTTGGCCTCTTGAGAAATTAAATTCCTTATCTCACCAAATCACAATTCTTCCACGCTATCTTTTCTCATGCCCAAAATTTTATAATCACCATATTGCTACTCAACGTCTTGGTGTTCAAAAGCGACACTTTGGTAAAGTAAATAATAACAATCCTCTCCACCCGTATCTGGATAAATTTTTCTCTCATGCCAAAATTCCCACAAATACCATATGGCTTTTGCCTTGCTGGCACTCAAGAAAAAAAAATGATATCTAGAAAAGATAATTAACATTGATTCTCTTCACCCCGTATCGGCAATTGTCTCAGGCCAAAATTTTTATGACTGCCATGTGGTCTGCCCGATATATTAATGCTTTGCCTTTTTTTCGAATTCTCATATTTCCCTCGGCAAGGCATTTCTTTACAACAATATTAATCAATTTGACAAAATCTCACATATGGCTTATTCTATGGGTCCACTGTCTTTTGTGAAGAGTAACTTTTTTTTCGGAAATAAAATCAAATCTTTTTAATATCAAACGGTATATCTTTCGGGCTATCCTTTCTCCGTTTCCAGCATTTCCTTGTTTAATTTTTATGATTAATTAGTTAGCCAATTACCATAGCTAAATAGTGTCACATTTATGAATTCATTTTTTCAAAAGTGAAGATGCTGTAAATGGATTTGGAAAGCCGAAATGAAGAAATAAGAAGAAATGAAATTACTACATAATTGCTGACAAAGCCAGTATTGTTAAAGCTATAACTGTCATAAACAAAGTTTAAGCAATCATTGGTAGCTTGCAAAGCTAAATTTAACTTTAAAATTGAGACAAATATTGATTTTCAGAAAGAAAACACATTTTAATAAAGTTAGTGAGTGCATCACCAAATTTCAGGTAGAAATTAAGAGAATTTAGCTTTTGTGGAATGACGAAAATAGCATAGAAAATATGAATAGCAAATTGATAAATATAATTAAGTAAGCAGCAGAGGTAACATAAAAAACAAAAATAGCAATAACAAAGAAAATAACTGGTGTAAAATACAGATGTTATAAATAGTAAGATAAAACTGAAAATGAACCATTGAACTAATCAACTAAAAATCTTTCTCACTTACACACACACACAAATCTGGAAAGAATGGTAGATGCTCTCAGGAAAGAAAGAGCTTGGAACATGCTCAATCTATAACTCACATAAATAAACAACCATTCCTTCCATTGAAAGGCAAAAATAGGAAAATTACCAAATGTAGGAACAAGATATTAAAGAATAGTTGAAAACTAGTATGCAAACATGTTTCATAAATAAAAATGACATCAACAGTCACTCCAGCAGATACTAATAATGTTACTTAGGTAACAACAGATGGAATAAGGTTTGTGTTTCAAAATGTGGAAAAGCACCAGGCAAAGATGGCAGAGTAACAGACCTTTTGAAATATACAAGAGAAGAATTCTCCAAATGATTGGCACATTTATTTACCTATGAATAGTCCTACTACCTTATAAAAAGGAAAAAAAAGGAACTTGGCCACTATCATCCTATTACATTATTATTGAACATATACTCAGAAGTATTTACATACTAACAAAGATCCTAGATGAAAACTGCCCATGCAGGGAGTTTTTAGGAGTAGCTGTTCAATAACATATGATCTATAAAGAATAGATCAATTGATTAACAAAAGCAGCAGAATAAACCACTTTGTTTAACTGTGATTGACTATGCAAATACATTTAACACAGTAGAACATGTGATAGTCTTTACTTTCACTGTGAGAGCAAGTAAGGAAAACTACATGAATGAGAATATGTACAATAACAATACTGCAATAAAGATACACAAAGATAAATAAAATATGAATATTAGAAAGGGGACATTCATTGAAACTATTTAAAGCAGGCATTGACATTTTCTTTTGGAAAATGAACTGGGAATGGAAGGGAGTAAACATAAACAATATTTAAACCATCTATATTTTGCTGAGAACTTTATGATATTAAATTCATTGGATGAATTAAGAAATACAAATGATCAAAATAGGAAAGGTGTATATATTTAAAAAGAAAAGAAATAGAACAAAAGAATGTTCAGTTGTAATATTCAGAAAAAGATAATAAAATAGAAGAACTGAAAGAATTTCAAGAATACTCACAATTAATAAGATTAAAGAAAGACCATGGAAATGAAAGAAATGGTATCTGGCAATAAGGTGGCAAGCATAGATGAAATGAAAGGCACCTTGCCAATATGATTAAAATGTATAATGCCTACCTAAGATGTACAAAACATGGGAACTAAAAAAAAAATCAGTTTGAAAACAACTTGGAACTGCACAAAGATCAATTCTAGAGATGACTTAAAGTGATAGAATGAGTTCAACATGGATCAGAGAAAAGATCAAAATAAGGGATGTCATAGAAATTATGAAAAGACCAAAATGGAAGTGGGCAGGATGCATAGCAAAAAGAAAAGATAACAGGTAGAGTAAAAAGTAGCTTGATTGGTATCTGATGGGTGGTATATGCAGACAGAAAATGAAGAAATGAAATATGAAGAGTTTATGGGTAAGGCATGGTAGAGAATAAAAGGAATGATTTGGGAATGGCATTTATTCTTCAGTGGACAAGCAGTAGTGGATGATGACCATGATTATAATAATAATAATAAGGATAATGGTGATCTCAGACCAAATATCTCTGATATTGAGCCCTCTTCCCCTATATAGTAAATTTTAAATATATATATATATATATATATATATATATATATATATATATATAAAATTTATTTATTTGGACAAGCTTACTCTCTTGTCAATAAGTAAAAAAATAACTAAAAAGTAGGAATGAAAAATTGTTGCCCAAATGTGTGTGCACACATGCGCACATAGTGTAAATTTTGGTATATTTATACATGAAGAGATCTCAATATTGGAGATAGAGTTTCTAGATATAAACAATGTTAATATAGGACTCTACACTGCATGGTGACTGTCAGTTTCATTCTTTGATTCAATCTTCAGACCAAGATAGTTTGAAGATCACATCGAAACCTGAAACTGAAAGTCTGTATGCAGTTTTGGTTCCTATGTCTGTGTTCTCTCACATACATATGATTAAAATGTTAACTATGAAAATATGTACTTTTTAGGTGATAGTTTTGTGATTTCTGTGTCATTTGATTATAGGTTAAAAGTTATAAATTCCTTTTCCCTTTTTATCTTTAGAAAATTCTTTATTCATCATATTTTTAAGAAATAATTGCTGGCATTGCATAATGTCTTTATTGATGCAACTCTTACATCTGTGTATGTAAAATGTAGATATAACTATTGCCCCCCCTCTCTCTCTCTGCATTGGTGAATTTTAAATATAAAACAATATTTTAATATTTTTTACAGAAAGAGGATAAGAAGGAAAAACCAGCTGTAGATTATGTCTTCTTTATGTAAGTAATATTTTTTCTTATATAGAAAAAATTATATATATATTAGAAAACTTTCTAAGGTAAAAAAGTAAGCATGAGATTTCTTTCTAGTTAATTATGAATTTATAAAAGTCTGCCTATAGCTGAGTCATCAGTTTTTATGTGAATGTAATCTGGAAAGATTAATTTTATACAGTTCAATAAAATTAATATTTGGTAGAATAAATTATTCTTAGCCATTTTATTTCTATTACCAATATGATTATTTAACTGTGATTATTGACTTTATTGTAATTGTTATTTTCATTACTCTATTATTATCAGTGGAAATTGAAGTAAAAAATATCTTTCTTGGGTGAGAGAAAGATCTGTTTGCTTTTATATCATCTAATTGTTCTGTGCAAAACTCTTAAATCTTTTGATCAAAATGTCTTCAGTTCAATGATCTAGTTAGTATTAGCACTTTAGAGTTGTATAATATATAATGATAGGCACAGAGATTACAGTAATTTACTGGAGAACCAACTTTAAGGTTGTCAAATGATTCTTTCTTTCTTGAATTTGATTATATGTTTGGATTTTCTTTTATTTCGTAGGAGACTGATAAAAATCTTGAAAATTCTTATCCCAGGCTGGTTTTCCATTGAGGTAAAGAAAAGAAAAATTATAACTTCATTTTGTATGCTCTTTTTACTTCTGGAGGCTGTGGTTGAAGCCAATGCTGATTTCATTGAATAAACTTACTATTTCGCATTTCAATATATTTTTCTGCAATTTTGGTAAATATATTTGTTAAAATGAGATGTCAGTGTTATTGTCATTTTTGTCTAATTTAGACGACAATTTATCCATCGCACCCGGTAGAATCATAGTATTTAATATGCTATTTAATTTCTTGTTTCCATTAATTATTTTAAAATTATGCATTGTGTAAAACAGTTTTTCACCTGCTAGAGAATATTTTATATTTACATATAATTATTTTCTGTATATTGAGAGTATATATTGGTATGTTTTAACAGCAGAAATAATGCCTGAATATGTCTGTGTACAGCTATTTATTCTATAGATCTTGTGGCTCACATGTTTTAGTTTTCTAGTTGTAGTAACACTTGTCTGATATAAAATAGCTTCAACCTATTCAGAATTCAAGAACAACAAAGAAATATTTTTGAAAATTCATAGAAAATGTATTTGGAAGTATTGCCTAAAAGCAAAGGCTAACTGACATTTTTACATGATATTCAGGGCATTTGTTCATTAAGAAACTCTGCAGTTTTATCTATACAGATGAGACATGGCATCTTTAGTTATTTGTATAAAAGTCTGCACCTAAGCCTATTGTAAATTTGTTGTTGATTTTATATGCATTCTAATGAATAATTCATAATTATGAAAACAGTATACATTCCCTAAATTAGGATTTAATGTTTATATTTATATTTCTTTTTCGATAAACATGGTATCTGTTAATGCACTTAATAGTCTTTACTTTCTTAGACTTATAAAAAAACAAACTAATAGTAGATGCCAAATAAACACCTTGTTGTTTCACTGACATTATTATTCTACTATTTCTCATTCTACAGACATGGTATTTGGTAATGGTTGCAATTTCTCTGATTGCCCGAACATATGCTGATGTGTGGATGATACAAAATGGCACAGCAATTGAGAGGTAGGGTTTGTGCTTTGTAACAATGAAGCCATTTTGTTTCTTTTTGTTAAAATATTGTACGAAGGTTCAACATTTTAGCTCATATACTAAAATTAAATAAAGAACTGAATTGTTTTGTACCAACCAAATTATTCCTAAAAGTCTCGTTATCATTGATTAAAATATTAATTTAAAATCTTGTATACTTAGCTCATCTTTTGTTACATTTTGTTAAATCCAATGATTTATTATGATTTGCATTCCAACTGGGGATTTGTTTTTATGAGGAAACAAGAATAAGCATAGAAAAAAATCACTTTTTTTAATTGTATTTCATATGTATTCAAAGAATTTACAATATGGAGGTAAGTTTCATAGCAAAAGAGAATAAGTAAGAAAGTTTGTTTTATTCACACATATTCGAATATAGTCATAGAAATCACTCAGTCTATGCAGTTGTCAGTTTGTATGCACTGACCCAGTCTAATGGAGAGAAATACTTCCTGAAAAATGGTATATATTTATTGCTTTCCAATCATAAATGATCAAAAACAACTAACAGTTAATTAAAAGTATGTAAGCTTCAAATGAACTATGACTTTAATATCTAATTTCATATAATAACATTTTTATAAAAATTACATTTTTTTTTCTTTGTGAAGGAATATAAAATAATACATCTATTTTGTAATGCACTTTGAAATTATATCATTCATTATTTTAAAACTTTATTTTTAAAAGAATGTTTTTTTTATTCTTGCCAACAAATGCCTATAAATTAAGAGTTTCATATGGTGTTGGAAAACTTTTTCAATAGATCCTTATGTTATGAGGTAAATATTTTGATCAACTTTTCTCTTTTCCCTAAGATTATATTGTTTCATTTATTCTGTATTCTATTTTGTCTTTCAGTGCTATCATTGGCAGAGATATGGAACTTTTTAAAGTCCATTTATTCCGATTCATTTATGCAATGCCAGCAGTAAGTAGATTCAAATACAGTTGATTTAGACATTTACAAAAATTAAATAATTCCTCTTTCTATATTTATTTTGATTTTTGATTTCAATGTGTTATTTACTCCCACTAGAGGAAAATCTCCTTTTCTCAAATTGAATGTTAGTAATTTTCAATATAATTTGATGGCAGGAAGGATGTCATCTTTTGTCTTGCTGCTGATGGTAGTCCTTTTAATGTTACATCACTGACCTTCTAAATATCCATAGCAGTTTTATTTATTTATTAACTTTTATTTCAACAGAGAATAGATGATTTCATGCGAATCAAAGAGATAACTGCAACAATTAGGGAAATAGTAGTGTCCATCTTATCAAGTCCACCTATTAAACTGGTATAATGTTTTTGAGCTGTCTATTTATGGAAGGTTTCTAGAAATATCTTAGATGGGATGGAGAATCAGGAAGAAAATTAACTTTTGATAAATGAAAGTATAAAGGGATCATTTATGTGCATAAACTTTGAACTGAGGACTTTGGAAGCAGAATATTTTTAGCTTTAATCTAGGAATTGGTTTAATAAATGTTTGGGAGGACCAAACAGTTTTTTTTTTTTCATATAATCCTACTTCTATTTATTTTAACCATTCTGTGTTTTCATTATTATTTAACAAATTACTTTTTTTATTTTACAGGTTTCTGCAACAAATAACTTCTTGAAAGTAAGTATAATAAATATTTCTAGTGGAAAATGATATCTGTCTAAATTTCTGGGATGAGGAAATTTACATGTTGAATATATATATATATATATATATATATATATATGTGTGTGTATGTGTGTATGTTTTCTATTCAATCATAGGTCTTTGTTAAAGCATTAATTATTGTCAAGTTTGAGTGTCTTTACTTCATGCAGTGCTTTTAATGAAATAATTATCAGTGATCAACATTTAATGATATTACAAGTAGAGCATACATGTTTAGTAGAAGAGAAATTTTGTTATTTTAAGTACATGTCATCATAACAAAGAATTTGTAGTTGATTAAAAATAAGTCACAAAACTTTGTATTGGCTAAAGTCCTCTATTAAATTTTAATGTCAGAACTTTATTTGAAAAATAATTTTTCTTGAACCAATTGTTGCACAGCCTTAAATATTAATTTATCAAAAAAATAAATTTGTGTAATACTTATAAATATTTTTTTAATTTATCTATATTGTAAATTTTTAAATTGATTTGATTAAAACAAGAAATTCTTATTTTTGAAACATGGAAACATTTTCAGAATTATTCTTTGGGTTCAACCATCTTGTTTTACCTAGACTTGCTATTATTTCTTTTTTTATTCTTTCTTTTGTCTTTTTTTTTTAAATAACATTTTGATCTGTACAAAAATTAGACTTGGCTAATTGGTTAATGGAAACATTTGTGCCAAATTTATGTTATGCCAGTAAATGTTTATTTGAAGAAACATGAAGATTACCAATATATAATATTATATAATTCATAAAGATAGTGATTTATAAACATAAGAATGAATAAAATTGTTTACAGAAATTTACTAAATTTTAATATTTTTCATTCTTTATGATAATTCAAAATCTTCCAAGATCCAGTATCTTTCTTACTGCACTAAATGATTTAATATTTTTAAAGAAAAAGTTAATATCATTATTTACATGCAAACTATTGCCCTCATCTTTGTTGTTATCACAACATTTCAGCCATTGTACCCCCAAGATTGCATCAGTTGTAAACTGAACCCTTTAATCTTTGTGGGTAGATTGTTCTAGTTCCACTACCCATGTGTAGAGATATCTCACCTAGTTCTTATTTTTAGTACTGTTCACTTATTGTTCACTCAATTTCCACTGAGTTCAAGTACACACTGCCTGGCCTGGGGATTGAGCTCTCACTGTGTCACCAAATTCATGAACCAACCTTTTAAGCTAGGCTATTTTTAGGTTTAAGGCTCAAAGTTCTCTACAAAAAATTGTCCACTAGCCTAGTGTTGGTTCATGAATTTGATGAAATAGTAATCCCTGGGCTGGGCAAGGTGTACTTGAACTCAGTGGACAAATTTGGACAAATAGCCTACATGTAAATAGTGTAAATCCTATTAACTTCTCAAAAGTTAGTTAGTATTCACTTGTATTTATTATTGTTCTATATATCATTGTACAAAGGCATTACTAATCATTACCATTTCTCCTTTGTACAGTATGGCCTCAGTAAACTGAAACTACGATTCCGAATTCGTCTCTCTACACATCTGTATGAAAAGTATCTAAAGTAAGTAAAGGTATTTTTTTACTTTTCACTTTAGACATGATAATAATAATGTATTTAGAAAAAATTCTAAAATGACAAACAACTGAAATATATATTTTTCTTTTATTTAATAATATTTTGTGATTTTAACAAGTTTTTTTAGGTTTCCAGTCTCACAATAGCTGCGTCAGATTGAATATGTATGATGAAAATTGCTGATGGGCGAGGATTTCTCTTTGGGGACAAAATAAGAGAAAAAGATAAACTTATATACAAATAGCAAGTCTTTAACATTCGAGTAATGGCTTGGATAAAATCACAAAAAGATTAATTTTTTACCAATTAAATATTGCGAATTTATTTTGTAGAAAGAGCATAAAAAGTGAGCAGTTCTTGTTTTTTTATTTATTTTGAAAACTTGTTATACTCTTTCTTACTTTTGATTTTAAAAGGTGCCTGTAAACCTCACCTAATAACATGATGTGGGTGGGAGGTTACTAAATATCAAATTAAAGAACATGATAATTATTTGTGTAGATTCTGTCTTTGTTATTCAGAAGAAATCATTTTCAGTTGTTTAACTATTGTTTATAATATTGTATTAGCATTCATTCTTACTTCACCTTGTCTTTTGATTCTTAGTCATTTTTTAAAAATCTGTTTTCATGCTCTTCTCTCAGAATAACTTGCTGACAATGATCACTTATTGACTAGAAAAATATATTCTGTGTGGACAACAGTTCAAAATGTTATTTGTATAGAATATTTGTAGTGGATAAAAAAAAATATAAAAAAATATTTTTCTGCTTATTTTATTTTTGCTTCTTACTTTTGAATGTGTGTGTGTGAGTCACTGTTTCTTTATCTTGACTTTTTCTAATCTGCATGGATAGGGGTTTTACATTTTACAAGATGAGTAACCTAGACAACCGAATATCCAACCCTGATCAACTGCTCACACAGGATGTTGTGAAATTTTGCAATTCTGTTGCAGATTTATATTCTAACTTGAGTAAGGTGAGTTTTATTCCATTCAACTGTATTCTTTATTCTTTTTCTATTTGTACCTTTTTCTCCCTTTTGTTTGAATTTGGGTCATTTTACTGATTTCTTTATTTCACATTTTTTTATATTAATGTACAATTAATAGCTAAGCTATTATAAAATATTTCTGTGTTTGATCATATTTAGTTATGGATAGATTTAAAAATAGTCATTTTTTATGATTTAAGGATGATTTGGTTTGCTTAACTTAAAATTATTTTAGCATATCAATTGGTGAGAACATAGTAATCCTCTGAATTACTTTTCTGTTGGTAATAGAATATGGTGCATAAAATAATGCTTATTTTTTTCCAAAACAGTCTAAATATTGACATTTCATCTTTATTCTTTGGTTTCATTTTTATAAAATATTTTAATTTATTTCATTTTTCAATTTCAGCCTGTATTAGATGTAATCATTTACACACTAAAGTTAGCGAGTAGCATTGGACCCCAGGTAAGAAACGAGATATTTTTTCTTGCATTTCCTTTCTTTTTCTTTATTATGTAATTAGATTTCATTCGTCATTGGCCTACATTGTTTTTTTTTCTTTAAATAAGTATCAAACAAAAACTGCTGTAAATTTGATGTATGAAATAACTTTATACATAGCAATTATCTTCATGCCACTAGATTTCTCTTTTTATTAAATTTTCTTCACTTGCCTCTAAAATAGCCCAATATATTTTGTCTTGGTGTATTTTGCTTTTGGAAGTCATTACTAAGAATTCAAATAAACCTTTTAATTTAAGTTCTAGTTTGGTATCACAAAACCTTTTCAATTATATTTTTCTTGTTTATTTTTAAAATTTTACTTTATTTTTTATTTAAGGGACCAGCAACCATGTTGGGGTACTTGGCTATTTCAGGATTATTGCTAACTCGGTAAATTCATGTTTAAAAATGCTTTTCAATTAATCCTTATCTTTGGTCAACTTTTTTACATAAAAAATATGTAAATTAAAAGTGAACAATTTAAGATTTCATGTTATGAATTTAATTCACTTCTCTTGATTGAGCAAAGTATATCAAAATACATAAAAACATACTTGAAAAGTTAATCCAGTTAAGGGATTTTTATATCAATTTATTTGCAATGTTTTTTTTGTTTTTTTTTTATCAGAGTACGCCGTCCAGTAGCAAAGATGACAATGAAAGAGCAACGTTTGGAAGGAGATTATCGTTATGTCAATTCTCGGTTGATAACCAATAGGTTAGCTACTTTTTAATATTTTTGTGTGTTGGATGCATTGTCATAATTATAGCCAGTAGTATCTTCCATATTTGGTTATTTGGAAAAAACCTTTCAGTAGAATTGATACTTATGTTCTTGATTAATTTTTATTTTCTAAAATGTTTTAAATAAATTTAATGAAGACTTTTTGCAATCTGGTAGCATTTTGAAATTTCACTCAATCATTTTGTCATACTGGTTTTGCTAGCTATTGATAGTTGTTTTGATTCACATTGGATTGTCTATAAATTTGACCTGATGTCTGAAGAATCAATATAAGAACTGACTAGTAGATACTAATTATGTGGGCAGTAGATACAAATGGATATTGAACATAAAATGTAAAATTACTTTGATTTAACTGACTGATGAAAACATTAATATTGTGATCACATGTGAAAACCAACAGTAGAATTGCAGAAGTTTTAGAAATGAGTAACTAAAAAAGTTGTGCTAAAAATAAAATTATTTCTATACATCATAAACATGAATTTAAAAGATTATGCTTTTGTCTGTCATGTTTCCCATCAGATAACACATAATTTTTCCAAAAATATTTCCTGCATCTTATATCTTGATGGTTGGGTTTGAGAATGCAGGTTAGCAATACATGCAAATGCACTAGTATTTACAAGGTTAGTTGCATGATTTGCTTAAGTAGTTCTGTTGGAGAATATCCAGTAATCTACAAACTTGGAGCAAAACCTTAATTTGGATAGGGCTTCAATTTCATGGAAATTGTTTGTAAAATGTTTTCCTAAATATTCCTTACCACATTATAGATTCATTTTATACACCAAGAAATATGATGTATACCAGGGGTAGCCAAACTTGCTTAATATAAGAGCCATGTAGTTCAGATGCCTGGGAGCTGCAAGACACAAACAAAATTTACACATACATATTTTGTTACATACACTTGACCATTCTCACTCCTAAATCTTTAATCCCCTTACTCATGTCCTCTGTCTTCTGATATTACTCTGTAACCCTTGCTGACCGGAAATTTCTTTAATACATCTGTCTCCCACCCTTCCTTCCCTCAGTGCTAAAGAACAGATCTAGCATTAAAGTTAGGATTTGATTTAAATTCTTAAATATTTTTGCTAACCGTGAACATTTAAACTTATATTTTAATCCAATTTATACCCAGTAAATATTTATAAAGCTTGAAATTTTTCTTATTTACCTTTTTATATTAACTGTGATAAAAAATGGAGCTCAGCTAACATATTTCCACGAGTCGCATATTAAAGATCAAGAGCCACATGGTTTGGCCACCCCTGGTATATGCAATCCATATTCAGAAATTTAAATGCATCCTCAGTCTGAATCTTTTGCATAATGAATAATTGATTCTCATATTTCAAGACATCAACCTTTCCAAAAATGATTTCCTGCCAATTTTGTATTCATCTGATTTACTACAGATGGAGTAAGTTATTTCTAAATTGTCACATTTCATTATAAAATAGAGAATTAATAAACCTTTAATAACCAAAGAAGTAATTTTCCATATCTGCCTATATTTCTGAGTTGAGGTATTATGTACACTATTATCTGCATCTTTGTTGTCATATTTATCACAATATTTCGGCCGTTGTACGCTTCGGCCTTCTTGGTTGGAATGTTGAACTGAACCCTTTATTTGCTTGCTGGGGTAGACTGTTCTACTTCCACGTGCCATGTCTAATGTTATCTCCTGTTAATTCAAGTTCTCCACCGCCTTAACCAGGTATTGAACTCACACTCTTTGGGTTCTGTCACTGGATCTAACTAAGGACTTTATCCACTGTGCCATGTGTCCTTGAGGACATCTGTGTATGAATTTCTGGGTATTATAAACCTAATGTCTTCACCAACCATTTTTTTTGCTGTTATCATATTATGTTTTTTACTAGAGCTCATATTGCAATTTTTCTTGTTATTATTGCTTTGCTCTGGCACTCCTTATTACTGGTTCCCATATTGTATTCATTTTTATGCTTGGTCTGCTCAGGAGATTTTTGTGGTCTGGCATATATGCTGATTTCTTAAGTTTATGAATTTTCCAAATATGTTCTATGTCTATGATTTCAACCTGATCCCACAGAGGGTGGTGATTTCCCTTTTCTCTCCATATGTGGTCAGCCACACCTGATTTTTCCACTTCCCCTCATGTTACAGCTTTTTGGTGTTTTTGTAGCCCTATCTTAAGGGGGTGGCCTGTCTCCCCTTTATATTTCTTCCCGCAGCTGCACAGGATGGCATACATACAATCATGTTCTCCTATATGGGGGATCTTACTCAGGAGAGGTATCTGCAAAGTGTCATCCAGCTTTTGAAGGTTGTCCTGATGTTATTTGGACCGCAGATCCTTTGTATTTTCTCTGATAACCCCTTCACATAAGACAGGCAAACTGTTTTCTGAGTGTTGTTGTCCTCCTCTTGTACCTGCCTATCCTAGTTTATTGGGGCTGCTGCCATGTAGCCAGGGTAGTTTTTATGTTGTAGGGTACTGCTTATACTGACCAATTCTTTATCTAATGTCTCTGGGTCACCACTTATGACTTTTGCTCAGTGTTGTAAGCAGTGGATGATCCCTTTCTTTATGTTGTATGGATGGTGGGAGTTAAAATTGAGCTACCGTCTGGTTAATGTTGGTTTGTGGTATACAGATGTCTTGAACCCATTCTCTGTTTGAGATATTAGAACATCCAGGAATGGGAGTGTGTTGTTTCTTTCTCCATCGTAAACTGTATTGAAGGTCTTATTAAGCTCACATGCTCCAGTAGAACCTGGACATCTTCCTAAACTAGAACAGTCTACCTCAGCAAGCAAAATAGTTCAGTTCGACATTCCAACCACCTGAAGAAGGCCGGAGTGTACAACGGCCGAAATGTTGTGATAAATACGGCAACAAAGATGAGGATGATAGTCCGAGCACTGTAAATTGTGTAATTTTCCATATATTGTACTTTTATTTTTCTTCTCCTTTTCTTTCAGTGAAGAGGTGGCTTTCTACCAGGGCAACAAACGTGAACATAATATCATTATTGCTACTTTTAATAAATTGGTCAGTTTAAAAGTTTTTTTCCTTTTAAATTCAGTTTAAAATAACATTCCTTAGATCCAGATTTTTATCATTTTCCCTATTTAAGAATCTTGTTTATAGGAATATGTTTTAAGACAGTTATCTGTCATATCTGTAGTTCATAGAAAACAAAATAAATTGAATCCCATGATTCTTTGTATATGAAGGAGAGCAAAACTAAAATAAAGAAAGTTTTAAAAATCTAAAATCTAGTTTTAACATACTTGCATGTTTTTCATTTTACATATTTCTTGAATTTTTTCTTTGTTTCTTTTTGTCAGGCTGAACATGCTAGTAACTTCATATTTTTCCGCATGCAAATGGGTTTCATAGACAGTATCATAGCAAAATGTAAGTATTAAAGTTTCTTGTATTTTTACAATATTAATTTCTTTTGGTGTTTTTTGTCACAAAGGAAAAATAAATTATGAACCACTTAGCAGATTCTTTCTTTTAACTTCTGATTAATTTTTGCAATAATAATTGATAACTGAAATAATAAAGTATTTTTTTACCCCTAGTGAGAATCGTTGACCATAATCTATAATACAATTTAATTTAGGTAAATGACAACATGTTGTTATTATTTTGTAACTAACAAATTATCCTCTTCAAACAGATGTTGCTACAGTGATTGGGTATTTGGTGGTCAGTCGTCCATTCCTCAATCTGGCCCATCCCAGGCATTTGCGAAGTAGCCATAGTGAACTTTTGGAGGTAAGACCGGCATTGTAGAAACTGAATTAAACTTTGGATTCATTTTACTTTTTATGTTTATAGAAAATATAAATGAATAAATATTTATTTTGACATTGAGTAATTGTATATTTGTGTAGCCAGATTTATAATTTATCTTTTTTAAAAACACTAATTGTTTCTAATGGTTTATTTTTGTCTTTTTCATACAAAAATGAATACTTCTTAGTTTTTAGTAGGATTTAAATGAAAAAATTAGATCTTAGTATCATAGTACAATCTGTGTCTTATGTTTAAATATTTTATGAAAATAAAAAGTTGTCATTAAATAATGACTTGATTAGTTAATGATATCATCCAATCAAAAATTAATCTATACTACGAAAACTTATGAAAGCTATGTGTGTCTAAGTCTTACTGGTAATCCTCAACAGCCGCTTCAGTTTTGATAAATTTCAAAAAGAACAAATTTTAAGAGACAAATGCTTAAAAATTCAAACTCAAGAATGTAAATATTAAAATAAAGAATACCATTATTGTTTGCTGATCAGAAAAATATTTTTTCAGATAATTTGGAAAACTTTTGATATTTTATTTCAGGATTATTACAAAAGTGGTCAAATGTTAGTAAAGATGGCTGAAGCAATTGGAAGAATAGCATTAGCTGGACGTGAAATGACTAGCCTTTCAGGGTAAGAAGTATTTGTGTTAGTTTACAGGCTCAGTGGCTTTTTCTAATACTGAGTATGATATTACCTGTTCTTGTTTATATATATATATATATATATATATATATATATATATATATATAATTTGATTAATTTTTTAATGTAAAATTAAAAGTGCTTTTATGGTTTTAATCTAGAATTTCTTAGGCTTTTATCTTTTCAGGTAATATCAACATTCAGAAAATTGATTCAGACTTTTAACCACGTTAAATTTCTAGTCTATATGTTTGGGAATAAAATAAAACTAAGATTTGATTTAAGCAGAATTGTTAAATTTTATTTTAATGAAGCTTTCAAAGAAATTTAGATCATTCTTATCAAAATACTAAAGCTGTAGGTCATGAAAGAAAAAAGAGTTTTAAAGTAATTCTATTTCACTGAAGTAGTTTTTAATAAAAATTAAAGTTTTATATTTTGGAGCCAATGATGCTGTGAAAAATTAATTTTTTTAATAAAAAGAAAATTATAAAATGGATATTGAAAAAAACCCTCTAGAATTTCAATTCTGTTTGAATAATATATTATTAAAAGAAAATAGTTGTATTCACACTATCTTTTTTTCCTGCAGTTTCACAGCACGTGTAACAGAATTGATGAACGTTCTTGAAGATTTAAACAAAGGTCATTATGAACGTACTATGGTAACTGATAATGGTGAGTTTGCATTCAATTTTTTTAAACTGTCTTTTCCCGACTTGTAAGCCAAGTTCATTCTAAGACTTTGAAAAGAAATGTTGGTTTTTAATGTAGCTTTTTCTTATAAACAGTTTTCTAAGTTTTGGCAAAGTCTTATGATGTATATTATTGGTATCTGCACTCATTATTATTCAAGTAATAAATGGTACTGATAGATATTATAATCTAATAATCATTAAATTCATAAATTCATTTTAACATAGATAAATTAGTCATAAGAGAGATTTTAGTGTTATGGCTAGATTATAGTCTCATATTGGATTCTTATCACTCTATTGTGGTCTGTTTCATAATTCGCTTACATTGAACAGTTTAGGACCACCCTTGGTAATTTTTTAAATTGGCCCAAAAAGTAGTTGTTTTATACTTTAAATAAAATTATTAAACATGGTTTAAAAAAGGTGAGACAGGATTTTTTATTAGAAATTTTGTTATGACAAAAAAAAAAAGAAGCATTTTATGATTAAATTTTGCTCTCATCGAATTATCCTCCTTTAGCCTTGATTACTGCAGCACAAATTTTTGGCATTCATTGCAAAAGTTTCTCAAAGTATAAGTTTGATAATTGATTCCATTCTTTTTTCAATGACTCTAAGAGCTCTTTTTCATTTTGGGGATGGAAAGGTTTCACTATTTTGTCAAGTTCATATCATGCTAATTCTGGGTGGGGGTGCTGGCTTCAAACTTTTGAACTGTAGTGTTTCTTCATATTACCTTATATTGCTTTGTGATCTTTCTAATCTTTATAAGCATATAAATGGATTTATATTCATTTGTAGTTATAGCTAAAAAAAAAAACAAAAAAACTGCTCATTGCTATTTATGTGTAATAAGAATATTCTCTAATTAATGTTTAACATAAATTAAGCAAATACTGGAAGATGTCCAAAAGAGTACAATAACTAAAATGTATAAATGAGTATACTAGTCTGAATGGAAAGTCATATAATAATGAATATGATATATCCACACTCTACCTAGCTATGTCAGTCTATACATATATTTCTTGAATCCCACAATAAATTTTATATATATATATATATCATTATTCTGATTTTAGAAAAAACTTATTGATAAAAAACAGTTTTTATGAATTCATTTGCATATCAACTGACAACATTCGCATTGTTTCATTCTTTGTGCAAGAATTTGGTAAAGAGAAATCTTAATTATTTTTCATAGGTTTAAATAGTTCCAGTATTTTAAAACCTGGTAGTGGCAAAGTGATTTTCAAGGATCACATGATCAAGTAAGTAAACATTTTTTATTCATTGACATTATTCCAATTGATCATCTGATAGAAATATTGTAAGAATGAGCACAACATCAAGCAACAGTATTCACATATATTGCCTAGAAAGTAATAGATTGATTTTTATTTATTTTTCAGATTTGAAAAAGTGCCTTTAGTAACTCCAAATGGTGATGTTCTTATTAAAGAATTGAGTTTTGAGGTAAAAGATTTCAGATATCTGTTTACTTATAAAATCTGGATCAGAATTAAGTGTCGCATTAATATTGATTTGTATGTGTGGTATGTGGTATGATATTGGATCCCTTGTCTGGCAACTGAAAATCCCAAAGTTTGTGTTAAGTTGGTGATGCTTGTTACAACAAACCCTCTATGAAAAAAGGAAAAAACTGAAATGTTCTTTAATGGTTTATTTAGTTTTTATATTTAAAAACAATTTTAATGAATTACTGATATTTATACTTTTTTGTAATTGATTTAGAAGTGCCTGATATTAAATTTCCAAGTTTAAAAACTTGACTTGGTTCTTTATTCATTTTTAAACAGAAACAATGGGATATACTCATGCCTCATATATCTATAAAGTAAAAGAAAAATTATTTCTTTATCAAAAGTAGGTTAACTTACATTTTTTTCTTTTAATTAATATAATTTTATTATAAGTATTTCTCCACCATGTGTATAACAATAAATATTAAAAAAATATTAAAATAACTTGTACCTTGTAGGTAAATATATGAAACTTAGGTGTAATCAGTGACAGAAATAATGCTATTTTATTTCAAATTACAGGTTCATTCCAATATGAATGTGTTAGTATGTGGACCTAATGGTTGTGGAAAGAGTTCTTTATTTCGAACGCTAGGAGAAGTAAGTGAACAGTCTCAAAGCAAAACAAACTTTTCAGAAGAAAAAATATTGATGTGAAATTCCAAATTTGATATGATGTTAAGAATTAAAGCTTTTAGTATCGCATTTCTTCAGAAGTAAAATTTATTTAATCAATTTTAAAATTCTTAAATTTGAACTGATTACAAAAGTCATGTAGTTTGTGCAATTTTTAAAGGGATTGCCTCCCTTTAAAAATTGCACAAACTCTTTGTTGACCTTAGATTTTTTTGTTTTTTATATGAAGAGATTAGTAAATCTAATTTATAATTTAACATAATTAGTAATTTTGATTACACATTGTTTAAAACAAAAATAATTGTGTATTTTGGATTTAACATTTTAACTCACTTAGTGAATTGAATTATATTTGAAATAAATTATACTTTATATTTTATAAACAGTGAAATTTAAGTGTTTGCTGTATATACATTATTGAGTGGTTTAATGACCAATTAAAAAAATTTCTTCGTAAAATAAGAGTAAGTGTACTTTTTTTTGTCTACATACAGTTTTTGGTGTATATTTGACTATTCAAGATTCTCATGATTTCAATTTGAAAAAAATCTTTTGAGCAAATCTTAATTATAATCTTTGGTTGAATTTATTTTTAGTTATGGCCATTATTTGGAGGAGTGATGACCAAACCAGACAAAAGAAAGCTTTTCTATGTTCCCCAGGTAATGCAATTGCTTTCTTTTATTCTTTTTAAACTGTGTCAAAACGTTTCAAATTATTCAAAGTTGCACTATGCAATTGATCTTCTTTCTTAATTAAGTTCTCTTTTAACCAGCAAGAGGTTCTTCATTGACACAGATATTCATTTGTTTTTCTCTCTCAGCGTCCATACATGGCAGTTGGGACCCTGCGGGAACAGATGATCTATCCAGATGTACATGCAGATCAGATAGAAAGAGAAATTAATGATGCGGAACTTGTTGATATTTTAGAGAAGGTTGTTTATTTATTATTTTTATTGAAAGAATTTATGCATTTAAAAATACTTAAAGTATTTATTTGTATTCCTTTTCTGAGTGATATGAATAACACTTTTTAATTTGTTTATAACATTAAGAATTATCAACATTACAAATTTTGTTCAGACAACTGAACATCCCCCCTCTCCTTGTGTACTTGATAAAATTAAAAAGTTACAGCCAATCCATTATTCTTCAGTCTTAATCATGTGCAAATAATAAAGAAAAGAAAAAAATAATTTTCTCCAAGAAAAGAAACTGGTGATCATTGACACACCAATTGGATAAATCCATTTTAGCATATACACAGAGCTTGCATTAGAAAGAGATAGCATATATTAATTTGTCACTCGAGTATGCTGGTTGTGGAAATACAAATTTCAATACCATGTGGTTCTCTTTCTTTCGCAAAGGTGCTAATTTTACCATGTATAGTTTGAAATCTCCTGGATGACAGTATGCTGTTTTCCTTTGTTTGATAGGGTTCATCTGTCTGAGAAATTTTTTAAAATTGTAAATTAAAGATTTTGATTTAGAAACACTCAACATATTTTAATGATAAATGTTGAAATTAAAACAAACACATCTAAGTCATTAGATTTGTTGTTAGATTTTTATCTAAGTCATACTTGTTGCATCAGAAAAGTTTGTGATTCATTTTTAATTTGTTATAATTAAATGTTTTCAGGTTCAACTTGGATATTTGCTTGAAAGAGAAGATGGTTGGGAATCTGTAAAGGTTAGTGCCATGTATTGCATTTTTCAGACTTCAATATTTCTGTGTAATATGATTCAAGTGTTAAAGCTTTGTCTGTCAATCAATAACTTCAGTTCTATAAAAAAGAGGAGTCTCTCTTGATAGCACAATTGATTTGTCAAGAGATGAATGTGTTTCAGCTGTTAATTTGATTAAGAAAATTGAAGTTGGGTTCAAAGTGATTTACTGAAAATTTCTATGAATCATTGAATAACTTCCACAATTAGTTTTTATCCATAAAAAAATTCTGAATTACCCCTTCTTATTAATGCAATGAAAGAGATTTTTAGGGACAACCAACAGAAATTCAATCCTCTTTCTACAATTTCATTACTTGTCTAAAGAAGATTATTTAATGCACATTATGTGCTCTTTTGTAGAAGATTGTTTGGTTTAAGAAAACAATTGGCTAAAGTCATAAGCAAGAGATAGTAAAGAACCAATGAATTCTATGTGCTCTCTTTCATCTAATCTTTATTTAATGATGCAGATATTCTCAAAAGCTACACAAAAAGAAACTCAGGCAGAACTTTTGAATGAAATCAATTAGTATTTATTTTGTATAAGCCACTCAAAAATATAACATATGCCATTTTTTTTATGGTCAGATACCTATATCTTTATAGCAACTTTAACTATCTCCCTTTTCATATTTAGAATAATTCTTCAATCTTTGAATTTTCCCATTGACATCCACCTTTATCCCTGACATCAATGTCACTCTTTGTATTGCAATGGAGAAATGCTGTCTGAAGTGCAGATGTCCAGTTACGAAGCTACTGTTCATTTTTTTTTCATTAACTGCTTAAAAGGATGACTAAATGAGTCTGCACCTAATGTTTGCATCTAGATAAGGAAATCTCTACACAACAGTCAAGAAATTAAGCTTTTGGTAGGTTAGCAAAATGTTTTATTTTGTTCAAGTAGATTAACACCATAATTTATGAACAAATGAATTTCACTATTACTGAATTAATAAATAGAATGAAAGTGATTACAAATGATGTCATTCTTGTTAGCTATTATATATATATATATATATATATATATATATATTCAATCAGATTTCTTTGTGATTTAAATTTTTGAAACCAGTGTTTAGATGTACATTCACTGACAGTCTCCATGGCTAAATGTTCAGTTTATTTTTCGGGTAGATTCTGCTGCTTTATGTCCCGTTTTGAATGCTTGCAATAAAATAGAATTTGTTTTTTTGATTTTTTTGCTCTTTACTTTGACAGCCTAAAATAAACAAAGCTAATCAATGAAAACCAAACCATTAGCATAAAACAGTGTAAAAAAAATTTCACTTTAAATCAGTATATTAGAGGAAAATAGTTAAATAATAGTTTATTCCAAAAATGCAATTATTTTTGCATTAAACTAATATTAGGTATAATGTGTATGTACAAATATGTAATATTTATTAAGATCCCAAATTAAAATGCTTGATATCAATAAGCTAAACTAAGCAACCTTTAGAAAATACTTGTTTTGGGTAGGTAATGAAGATATCAGATCATTTAATGCAATACAAATGGAGTTAGGTGATGGTAGAGGTGTTGTCTAAAAATGAAATAACTTCTAGGAAATGCTTAAAGTGTTTGGAATTTTAAAAACAGGGCCAAGAACTGTCTCATGAAGTAACTTTAATCATCCCTGCAATTTTTAAACTCCATCAAATCTTTTTTTTAACTTATTATTTAATCATCTTAGTAGCATAATAAAAACATCATTAAAATGTTTAGGAAAAAATCTAAAAAACAGCTAAAATTTTAAAGATTTAAGAATGAATAAATATAGAAACAAATTAGTTAAATTTTACTGTTATTTTTATTTAAAGATTTCTGTTAAATCACCTTGAATAAAATTTTCTTGTTTATTAAATTATAATTAATTCTTACAATTAGACCCTAATGTTTTTCACATTTAGATATAAATACAAATGTCTAAATTTAAGTCCTTCAACCATAATTTTTAATTTGGATTTCATTTACTAGCTTAAAAAAAAGCACCTAAGTTTTGTTTGTTTATTTTGTGTGTTCCATTTATTTGGTCTATGATATTCTCAGCATCCTTTTGTAGAACCACATTTCTGTTGCTTCAAGTTTCTTCGCAAATATTCACTGCCATATTGCATAAGTTTAGTACGCTTTTCTTTATTTTTTAACAAAATTTTTTTGTTTCTTAGCTTTTTGAAAAATAAAATCCCAAATTTAAATTTTGTTCTTTATTTTTTTAAATTTTTTCCACATCATGTTGTTTTTTTTTGTTTTTTTTTTTTTTTCTTCTTCAGGACTGGATGGATGTTTTAAGTGGTGGTGAAAAGCAAAGAATGGCTGTAAGTATTTTAGGAGTCTTTTCATACCTGATTACATGTAGAACAATTCTTTTTTTCTTTTTTTTTCTAATGGGAATGATATCTTCTTGAAATCAATATTATAGGATATTTGTTTATTTTTGTTATATTTGTTAATTTGAAATGTAATGTAGACTTCCTAAATAAGAATAAAAAACAACTTATCTCACCCGTTTACATTTATACAATATGTTGTGACATTTTTTGTTCCAACAAAACATAGGTCATTTATTTACTTACTATTATTCATATATACATATATTTTATTCTTCATACATAGAATATAAACAAAGTCATAAAGAGAGATGTAAGCAACTGATCTTCCTCTGCAATGATTATGGGTTCAGTCTGGTGGTGTCCATCTTTTATACTCAGGCTGTAATATTCAAATATTCAGCAAACTTGACAATGAATTATAAGTTCTTGTGCTTTATTGTTTTGAAAACCGAATCAAAAGATTGCCACTAAAATTGTAATGGAATCTATTAAATTATTTATATGAACATGTATAAATATATATTTTTGTTAGTATATAAGTCTATGTATATGCACATACACATTTATCACTTCAATCTTGACTTCTTCAAGTTAAAGGCCAAGAGTTATCTTTTGTTCTTATTCTCATAATTTTCATTTTCTATCACCTCTTCTGTTCACATCTCATACTATTTTAACTCTAACCCTCTACCTTGAGAGACTTGAGTATTGTATTCAGTAGAAATTTTGTATTATTTATATATATATATATATATATATATATATATATATATTTATTATACACCGTTACATTAGAACATGTAAGTAACCACTACAAAATTGTACATTTTGTTTCAAGATTTAATAAAACATTTCATCAGGTGGTTAACAATGATTGTTAACCACCTGATAAGACATTTTATTAAATGTTGAAACAAAATGTACAATTTTGTAGTGGTTACTTACATGTTCTAATGTAAAAGACTAAGTAGTCTCTAATGTAAAAGACTAAAAAGACTAAGTAGTCTCTAATGTAAAAGTGTATAATAAATATTTATTGTTCTACTCTTGTATTGGCCCTGTTTTAAATTAATGTTTTGAATGTTGTAATTTTATTCTTTATTATTTTACATTTGGAGATGTATATGAGCAGAATTTTTTCATATAAATGAGTTTGGTTACAGTTTAGACTAATAAGAATTCTTTAAAGATTTTTTAATTTATTTTCTCTATATTTTTGGCCATTTCTCTGGTTTCTGGTACATATTTAAATATAAATTGTCTAATGTCTGATTACTTTTGCCTTTCATAAGACATTATTAGAGAGGTTTTGTTTTGTGTGCTATGTCAGTTTCATCATTTTCAAATATCACATCTTTATGTGGCAGCATTAATAAAATGTTGTCAAATTTAGGAACATATCAAATATATTTCATAAAAAAATCTATAACACAAACGTGAAGATGCGGCATATTTGAAAATGATGAAATCAACATAATACAAAAAAAACAAAGTTTTTGATAATGGCTTATGAAAGCTGAAAGTACTCAGACATTGGACAATTTATATTTAAATATGTACCAGAAACAAGGAAAATGGTCTGAAAAATATATACATAGAGAGACAGATTTTCATTAATACTATTTTTTAAAATATTCATTTTCTTTTCAATAGATGGCTCGCTTATTTTATCACAAACCTCAATTTGCCATACTTGATGAATGTACAAGTGCTGTCAGTGTTGATGTTGAGGGATTCATTTATCAGCATTGCCGAAAAGTAAGGTTAAAATTTTTGTTTGAAAGGAATTTTCCTATCTACTGTTAAACACTAAAACCAATCAAAATGAATTATTTTTCAATTAAATATTTGAATGTTCTAAAAATCAGGACTGAAAATTTGTCCCAATATAAGAGGATGAATCAATAATTCCACAGTCTGATGCATACTTATTAGCTGAATTTTGATCTGACATTTTCACTGCATAATGTTCAATCTGTGTGATTAATATCACTAAATTAAGTTCATTGAGAAAAAAGGCAATCATATTGAAAAATATTTGTTGCCTAAAACATTTTTTTTCATTAGTCTGCAAACTTATGTATTTTGTGTATATAATTGGATTAAGTTTATATTCTATTTACTTACCAGCCTTATTAACATTAATTTAAAAAATAGTCTTGATCATGTTAAATAAATTAATACTGTTTTTTATTGATGCACAGAAAGAAATCATTAGCCTGAAAAGCTGAGCTTCATCATTTTACTTTTCAAAATTATTTCACATCTTGAAATTACTGTATGAATTTAGGAAAAATAAAAATCCATTTGAATTTTTGGGATAAAGAATTATCACTATTTTATACTTTTACATTCAGATTAGGAAACTCATTTTGTTGTTACATTAACAATGTTTGACTATTGTACCCTTTGGCTTTCTTCAAGTAGCCTAATTAATAATCTTTTTGGAATTTTGAGCTGAATCCTTTCTTTATTCATCCATATGACACATGGCCTAGTAGATTAAAGCATTGGCTGAAATTCATCTGACTCCCTGTCAATAGGAAGTTCAGAAAAGTCATATCTTCTGGTTCAGTAGAAGAAATGAACAAATGACACAAATATCAAAATGAATGGAAAGTAATAATTGATGCATGATATCCCATAAGCATTGGAAATCTAAAAAAAATACAAAGCAAAACAAATAATCTGTATTTCAATCATCAGTTATATTTTTTGTAAGAATAGCAAACTGAAATCTTGCAGTTAATGTTCTCAGTAGTCTTTAATTTTGATATGTCCTGGGAAGGGATATATTTGATCGAAGTAGCTAAGTGGTTTAGGCTACTGTAACCGAGTAGAACAATCTAGCAGGTAGCAGTAATGGAACTGGTACTCGTCGTACTCGCAGTCAATAGGTGTAGGCCAATAGGATAGCCAATGGCGTAGTCGTCAATAGGCGTCATGTACCTCCACATCAGCCTGTATTTATGGCTGACACCAGCCAATCATATTCCTGTGAGGGGGAACACAGGTGTATCCAAATTCATTACATCAAATTTGATGATGAGTTTAGTACTCAACATTGCATTAAACTCCAATATCATTAATATACTCCTTGAAATGTATATAAATGTCTCTATAAATATTGCTGGAATGAAAAAATTAGTTGTATAACTGATGTCATTAGAAATGCTTTTTTCATTTTTGCAATGAGTTAGGCCTGTTAAAATTTTACTTAATGACTTTTATTTTAAAATAAATTTTATTTTATAGCTTGGTATAACATTATTCACCGTGTCTCACCGGAAGTCTCTTTGGGAACATCATGAGGTAAGAAAGTTTTTTTTTTCTTTTTTTTTTCATTCCATATGAATTCTTGTACTGCAGTAAATTAAAGATCAGAGCAACTTATCATTGCATGACTACAAAAAATGAATGTTGAGTAATGATTTCTAAACTCAAGCAAGTAATCTTGATAGTTTAGGCATCCATATAAAGTTTGAAAATTGCTAATTTTGATATTCTGTTGTAATCTAAAATAAAGAAATAAGAATTTGTTCTCAACGCTAAAATTCCTTCTTTTTGTAATTATTAATGTATTTTATTAAGCAGGTTAACTGGGCTTGAACACCTTGAACAAATAATAGAGGATTTTTTATTGATCCTGTATTTGGAATTTTCTTTGATTCAATTAAGAACTTACCTTCATTTCTTGGCTGCTTTCAGACACTAGGTTTTATTTCTTAAAATATTTATGGATGTACATATATATAAAGATATTTAATTTAATATATAATTGCTTTTATTCTTGCTGTTTAATCTCAGAAAAGTTGCAGGTTAAAATCTTTTTATTACATCTGTCCCATAACAGTTGTTACATTTACCTACACATTTCATGCCCTAAATGTCAACTATTATGGGGCAGAAGAAGTCAATGAAGAAAAATAAAAAGTGCTGAAAATTTACGTTTCATATTTTCAGGTAATTAATTGTGTTTATTAGATGATTGTGGTTAAATGGCTGGTCACTATCACCTTTAGGGGAAGAAAATCTTGGACATTTTTCTTTCTTTTTTTTCTCTCTCTCTCTCTTTAAATATATAAATGTTATAATAAATGTTCAAATTTTTGCAGTTCTTAGTTTTAACAGACTGCAAATTCTTTGCTGACCCTTATATTTTGCTAAGACCCCCTTTATGGAGAATAAAATAAAGTCTCCTTTTGGATATTAACTGAAAAATGTATAATTTTTTTACTAGGTTTTAGACTGGCTTTAGAAATAAACAATCCATTATATACACTTTTTTAAACAAATTTTCATATGTTTAATATTACTCAACATTTAATTAGGTTTTTTTTTTTTTTTTAAATTATCTTTATGAAGTTGATGAGATACACTTTATTAGACAAGAACATATACTATATTCATGTTAGACAAAAGACCCAATTTTCAACTCTTTACAGTGTTTTTGTGGAGCCAAAAAATGAAAATTTAGTACCTGGAACTCATCCTGCAAACTGCGCCTCCCAGTGCAATTAAATGAGAAAACCAAAACATTTTCTGATGTAGATGAATAGAAACTTCAAACTTAACCATTATATCTTATTTGTTCTGTAAATGTTTCCTTTTCTTTTTCAGTATTATTTGAAAATGGATGGTCAAGGAAATTATGAATTCAAACCAATCACACCAGAAACTAAAGAATTTGGGTCTTGACCAATTATGAAATTTTGAATATTCATTGAATGGATGAATTATTTTTAAATTTTAAATCTCCCTCTCTCTCATATTATATATATATATATATATATATATATATATATATATATATATAGAGGAAGAGATTAAAAGGAATCATTAATAACTTGTCTGCAAAATGAGAGTTGCTTTGGAGAACATTTTTGCAAATACCACAAATAGGCTTGCTGATATGAAATTGCTTTTGGGTTGCCATTATTTTAATTGCTCAAAATGATCATCAAAGATAAACATGTTTTCTTTTAAGTTAATCAAAACTATCTAAGTTAAAAATCTGAATTGAAGTCAGCTGTTAACTTAATTTGTAGGAAAGGCAGCTAAGAGTAAAAGAAACAATGCCCATTAATATATTCTGAATTACATGCTTTTACACATTATAAAGGCATATAAAAGATATATTGTGTGCTGTGTAAGTGACATCTATAAAAACAATGATACCTCATCTTCTAAGTTGATATAGAAATATGCATGTGAATGCTCTAATTGATCTTGCAAATATACTTTTGTCATAGATTCAAGCCTAAATCTACACATATAAATTTTGGGAAAATGCATTGTTCTTCTCCCCACCTACACACTGCAGTTGGTTTTCTTACATCTCCTATCGTCAATATCTCCTTTTCTTTCCTATGAAGCCAAGGTATGTAAATTACATTAGTATAATTTAATGCATGCTTCTTTAATACTCTCTCTATATACACACACACACACACGTGTGTGTATGTAAAGCATAAAAGATAACCAAATCTTGCTGTGGATTGTAACTATTTTATTTTGATTTAGATTCTATGCCTATGCTGACAAACTTTACTGAAATAATTTGTGACAAAATTTGTATTTTAGTATTAGCCCAATTTCAGGAATGATTGGTTAAAATGTTTCTTCTTAGTTTTATTGATTCATATCATCTGTATTGGTCAATTAGTGTTTCAAGTTATAACACCAGTTAACATAATTAAATGATTCAACTCTTTGGCTAAATTCTCTGATGATCAAAGTCAATTAGAATTCAATAACAGTTCATAATAATTCATTTACATAAATTTAGCATTGTCTGAGCAGAAATAAATCATGGTACCTTTTATAAATAAAGATATTTATTCTATAATTAAATACAAAACAAATTAAATCAATTCTTTGAAGAGACAAGTAAATTTGTCATTTCTCATTTTATTTTTAAAAGTAAATTTTAAATCTTACTGATGACTTTTACATTATTTAAATTTGGACTATTATCCTCATCTCACAATGTTTTGGCTCTTATGTTCTCCAGCCTTCTTCGGGTGTTTGTCCAAATGTAAATCATGTAAAATCCTCAATCCAGAAATCCAGACAGAAGTTACTGATGATTTCTCTTAGTTTTGTGCTTGAGGAGGAGAATTTAGTTTAGAAACAACATTCTTTCTCTAAATTTATTGAATGACAAACATATTCAAATTAAAAATTTCATTTGTAACAAGTTTAAAGTTTCTTTCCACAGAAATAATCCGTACATAAAATTGACCCCATCACATAAGATATGATTTAGTGTTTTTTTTTTTTTCATCTCAAGCAAGTTTCCCATTAAATATGATCTTTATCAAATGTCAGTAATATTCTTTCTTCTTTTTGATTTACTCACTTCACTTAGCAGAAAGTAATCTCATTCTGATATTTATTATAATTCTAATACATAAACTACATTCCATGTTTTTAAATCTATTAACAAAGCTCCAATTTAATGAAAGAAGAATATTTGATAAAAGATCTTAAAATCGAGTACAATATTATTAAAATCACTTTTTAGTTATTAAAAAAAATAGTTTGCTAAAAATAAAACAGCAGTTGATTTTTTAGATCCTATTTAAATTTATTTATTAATATAGTTTAATAAACCAGAGAAAAATACATAAATCATTGTATTCTAACAATGTACTCATTTTTACAATAAAAGTTGGGAACTTGGTTTACTTTTTCCTTTTCAAGTATTTTTGTAATTTAATGGGGAGTATTATTGTTCAAGCTGCTTCAATTTGATTATTTTTTGCAGATATTTCCCTAAGTCTTCCTTTTACACATGTTATTGTGTCTGTAAGAAACGTGTCTAAATAGTCACCAAAAAAGAAACAAAAATCTTGCATTTTCATATTTCCAAAATGCATCAAAAAAACTTTCAACAACAATGATACTAATATATATATATTTCTATTTTTGAAATTAGTATCATTGTTGTTGAAAGTTTTTTTGATGCATTTTGGAAATATGAAAATGCTAGATTTTTTTTTTTTTTATTTTAGATCTTTTATATCATTCAGATATACAAAAGAAAATAACCATATATATATATATATATATATATATATATATATATATATATATATTATTTTCTTTTGTATATCTGAATGATACAAAACATCTAATTTAAAATGCAAACAAAAATATTTCTTAACCTGTGAGAATTTTTTTGTAGGTTTTTGTTTCATTTAGTTTAGATCATGTAACTGTGAGACACTTCCTCTCCCATGTTTAATGACTTGTTTCTTGCTTATTTTATATATCAATTTTGACCCTAAACTGATTTTGATATTTGGAAAAATATTTTTCCATCACATTAAATTTCTTCATGCTATCAAGTTTTTTAAAAAACAACCCTGAAATATGAGAGAAAAAAAAATCACTATAGATTCATCATATGTTAGTCACTGTCCATATTCAATTTTTTTTTTGTTTGTTTATTGTCTTTTGGTGACTTAAATGATAATTTGGTGTAAATAAATTTTCAGGTAAATTTTTGCCTTGACAACATTTGTATTTCTGTATCCGATATTTGGAAATTGAGAAAAATGCCCAAATAATTAGAACAAGCTGCTTATTTAATGCTGAATTTTGTTTGTCTACTTGTAAACGCTTTCTTATTTTGTGATGCAAATACACTGAATAAAATAGCAACAAATCTATTTGTGTTGTAATGTCATTACTTAATGAAGTTGCAAGTATTCATTATCTCAAGTTACTTGATCTTAACTAAATGAATTGAAATTAGTGAGCATTCATGATTTGTTATACTGTAGTTTAGCAGGGGAAGAGGTTTAGTGTTGAAAGTGAATGAATGCAATGCTTGAAACAGGCAGTATAATTCATTTGTGAAAATGGTCCTTTGCAAACATACAAAATGTTTAATTTCTGTGTTCATTAACAAAAAAGCTTAAGAAAAAAAAATCAATAACTTTTTCTAACCCTCTCAGGTATGATGATGGGTGATTGTAGTTGTTTTGTAAATGTTAGTTTGTTAAACCAGGTTAGTAAACCAGAGAAAAATAAATAAAAGTATCTTAATGAATTATTTATCTGATACTAGCAGTAGAGCCCGGCGTTGCCCGGGGATGTAACAGTAAGAGATAGATCAAGTATCGACCATCATAAAGACTGAAAAATAAAATTGACAAAGATTATTGTTTAAGGTTGATGGACACGCATGTCTTAATTAGTTTTTAATGAATTGGTCAAACCCAAACTCAAACAAAAACATTGTTTTCAATCGTTATGAGTCTACCGATTGAATAGAATTTTATTATAAACAATTGTCTTGTAAATGGAATTTTTAAAGCATTCTGAATGTAAAAATAAAGAAAAAAGTGTGCAAGACAATAAGAAACACTAACTGCCAAAAAAAAGGGAAGTTTTGTTGAAATCGGTTGAAAAATGTAGGAAATTCGATTCCATATATAAATGAACACAGACACACACACACACACACGCACACACACAAACAACCTGGGTTTTATAATAAGTATAACTTGATATGAGTTGTCCCCCTTTCATTCTGGCGACTTAATCGTGTTTTCAAATTGATTTCGTGCAAAAACAATTGTTTTTCCAATTTTTGTCGCTGTCAGAACCACTGCAAGGTAATTTTACGTAGTCCTGTGAAGTTTTGTTGAAATCGGTTGAAAAATGTAGGAAACACGATCCCATATATAAACGAATATACACACACACACACACAATCTGCGTTTTATAATAAGTAAGATTAATGGTATAAATATCTGCACTTATATACTTGCTTCTCTCATATATTTATTTACTCACATATGAGGAGTACTGATAAGTTCTTGGCCTGATGAACTTCCCAAAATCTAATCAAATATCAGATTTAAATTTTTATAAGAGGTTCTTGGGCTAAAAAATTTTCAGCACCCCTATCTTACACATTTATATAAGTCTACCATTTGTCCATGCATTGAATATTGCTATTACAATTGCAGCTTCTGCTATGCATTTAGAGATTCTTGATAAAATCCAAATGAGAATCTGCAATGTTATTGGTCCTGACCTGGCATCTCAGCTTCAGTCACTTTCCCACCACCATAACATAGCTTCTCTGTGCCTTTTCTAAAAATATTTTCATGGTAATTGTTCTGATGAACTTTCCCCTTTGGCACCTTTATGTACAGTACTAGATTGATGGCAAGGTCACATCATTTTACAGTTTATATGGCTAGATGTTACTGTAAGTTCTATGCTAACTGTATCTTCTCTTGCAATTCTTGCTTGTGGAACTCTCTTCCAGCTTCTTGCATCCCAGCCAAGTTGGCATTTAAATTTTTAAAGATCAATGTCAATCGTTATCTTCTGTCTTAATTCTGGTTCTTTTATTGTTCTTCATATTCTCTAACATTCAGTAACCCCCTTGCATCTTAGTGGCTTTATTGCCTTGTTTGGGATGAAATGATTAAAATAAAAAACCTACAAGAATGGACCATTTTCTTAAGTTATTTCCATTCATTAAAATTTGCATTATTGTTATTTATGTCAGGATAATTTGCATTAACAAGTTCTTTAATGAATTGAAATCATGGTTAAAATCGCAAAAAACAACACAAACAGAATGGAGATTGTGGAAATGTCTCCGAATATGAATCCGAGAGAAATAGCTACGAAACTTTGAATATCAAGATGTGCAGTTTCTCACGTTCTTT